CTCTCGTGAAATGCATATTTTGTTTACACTTCAATTGGAATAAATTTACTTCTATTAATAGAAATTCCATTACTCACGCTTAACAAAAATGTCGATGAATAAAATGATGAATAATTCAACAAAATAATTGAAAAGCATGTCTTTGTTCTGTGTTCAATTTTTTTTTCTTTTACAAGTTTTACAAAGTGAAATATAGAATTTAATGATTAATTTATTCACTTAATATTTACTAAACAAACAAAAATCTTTTTTAATAATTAAAAAAATTAATTAAACATCCAACAAAATTTAACTATTAAAAAATAATCAAAACAAGAGTTTGAATCCTCACGGCTACTCTAGACTAGCTAATTTTATTTTTCCCTTTTTTCCATATTTATGAATTTATTTATTCTTAATTTTTCTTTCCTGTGCATAAATATACCCAACACAATCTTTTGCATATATTAGGCAGGTTTTAAAATCATTGAATTTTGATTTTTGCCACGTTAAAAGATAAATTTAAATATAAATAATATGAAAATAAAAAAAGATCTAAAAGAATGTTGAAAGACAGAATAAAAAGTAAGAGGATGAAAAGTTGACATGTCTTCAGTTTTCGTTTAGAGATGAAAATAAAATACTTATGGAAATATTGATCGCCAAGAGCCTGAACTGAAGAGAGAATTTTCAACTATTTTAGGACCTCGTTGATATTTTTTTACTTATTTCTTACTTTTCTCTGCCGTTACATATTTTCCTGAAAATTTTATCAGTTCACGTGTCCATGAATAACAACATCCAAGGTCTTACTCTGAAAAATTAAATCCTACTAAATTATTTACTGACTGAAAAAGCGGATTAGTCGTTGAATACAAATGAGTTAAGATGCATATCAGGTTCAATTTGTCATAAATACATCTACTTTACCATACTGTTATTTTTTACAAATAAACAAATTCTAAAGATTACCAATGTGATTATTGAAATTATTGCCATTATTTTTGTCTGGTTTTATAAAAAATCCAATCACTCTAGTGTAAATAATAGAAGTAGTTGGATCAATAATGTTTATAATTGGAATGACATATAAATTCGTATGGGTAATGGGTGATAGCTTTATACGCTTTAATGAATTATCAAATTTCTTCATTCAATAACTATTGAATTTTTATTGATAAATAACACTGCATGCATAAACAATTATTGGTGAATTGAAAATAAATTAAATACGTGTCTGTCTCAATTATCAATATGCGTGAAATATGGTGATTATTTCTATTATTAATTCGTTATAATTTGAAATCAATTTTACTAGACAAGTTCACACTCACTGCATGTGATCAATTATATTATTTGGAATTAATCAGGTTTAGAAAGTACCACATGGTTAATTATTTAATGGATAGATGGATCAGTCTAATGATGGCAGAGTACAATTTTGTGATAGAAGAGTAACTTTTTTATCACATTGAAGAACTTTTTTGCTACAAAAAAAAAAAAAAAATAGCCAATGGCAAAATTGAGTTTTTTTTCAATTAGAAAATAATTAGGTTTTAGTGAATGGTAATTTTGCTTCAATACTCACAACAATTAGCTATTGATTTGAGGTCGTATATTTTAGCAATATTGGTTAAATTTTATGAACAAAGTTTAGAAATTTTTACTGCTAATAGTGATTTTAAAAAGATTGAATCTTATCATGATGAACTGATTAAAAGTGAATGAAACTTTTTTCTTATTAGAGTTGAGTGAATTACTTCAAAATCCTTGTGCTTATTTTAGGATTAATCGTTATTTTGCTCTTTGACGTTCCGAGTCTTTATGCGTAAAAAATACCGAGTAAGAGTTACACGATATAGTACTTTATACACCAAAAAAATGTCATGAATTTCATCACAGTGCTTTGATGTAAATTCCACCAGTTGAAATCTGTAGTATTCTTGTTGTTGCTTTCACATAATTTTTTTTCTCAAAAGTGAACATTTTCTATTGCACTGTGAATAAATACTAGATTCTCTAGGGAAAAAATTTCTCTAAAATAGTTAATTTAACTCTACTTTAAATAAAGTCTCCATTCTAATTATTTCTTTTATAATAAACAATTTTAGCATCATAATAAAAATAAAACTGTTTATCATCATGAATAATTGAAATAATTTCTTTTCTCTGAATCGTGTTTCATAAAGGGTAATTTTTCCTTCATTTTTAACATGTCGTTTTAATTTTACCCAAGTAACATACAATAAAGTTGCTACGTTGTGTTTACTAATAGTAGATAGGATAATAACTACCGTCTGGAATAATTCATACTAGCATATTCTGCTTGTGAGAATTAATACTATAATATGTAACATTTATCTTACTAAAACAGTCATTCTATCTTTGCCCAACTTGTAAAAGATAATTACATGACAAATAGTATTAAAAATAAATATTACCACCAGTATTTTCTTAGTTATGGACACTTTTATCATGATATCAATCGACCTGACTATAAATGTATGCCACTGGCTGTCCCCAAAATGCCAATCACTGAATGGCGTATTCAATAAATAAATTTTTCTCTTTGCCACATTCCTTTGTTGAAAATTAATTTTTTTTCATTGAGATAAAAATTCTCTGTGAATGAAAAACATTTTTTTAACAAGAATCAAAAACTTTGAATAGCTTAAATTGGAAATATTTTTGAAATAAGTCTAAAAAAAATTGAAAATTCGTTATTATAATTTGAAAAGTTTTTATTTTTAAAAATTAATCTTTTTGCAAAAAATATTTATTAAATTTATCCTTTATTCACATCAAAGGGCTCTAGAAGTGGTCATGATTCTTTCAAATGAATTTTAATAGTATTTGAAGTCTTGATATTATTGAATAGAACTTAAAAAAAATATCCTTCAAGCGAAATTTTATTGAATCAATCGAAACATTTATTGCGATTATTAACAATTTTTTTGTAGAAGAGAAAGAAGAATTATGGTCCAGTCTTTAATAATATGGTCTATTTGTTTATTTTGTGAACACGATGTATCTTCCATCAGCTAAATAACAAATATATTACAAAATAACTTCTTAGCAATAAACAGAAACTTCGAAAAGTGACAATTGATGATAATTAATCAAGCAAAATGTGATTTAGTAGAATAAGAAGTGATCCATAATTCTACATTCTCCTCTAAGAATTTTTAAATTACTTAAAAAAAAATATTTTTTAATGATTCTTAATTAATTGGAAATTATGATGAACAAATGATTCAAGGAATTTGCTCAGCAACGTAAACCTTAATTTTAAGAAAAAATAAGAAAAGAACATCTTGAAATAGAAATACGAATAATTTTTATTATCCTTAAAGAAAAAAGCTTTTTATTCCTGAAATAAATTTCGCTAATATACACATAAATTTGATACATGTACATATATACCATGAAAGATAAGGAAAAAACAACAAAAGATTTTCAAATTCCTTCCGGCTAGACAGTTATTTTATATTTTTTTTCTATATGTCAAGAGCATGAAAAAAATTTCAAAGCTGTCTAGTGTGAAAGAGTGATATTTGCACATAAGTGTAAAAAGGTTTTACGCTGGGAGCAATCCCTCCAGAGGGCCGCCGAAAATAAAAGGGAAGGAAAACAGACCGCGAGAGGAGAAAATTGGAAAAAAAAAGAAACTACTAGGAAAAAGATGAAAAACTCAAGTTTTAACAATCGAGAAGGCTTCTTCCGGTCGGCTCATCTCATGAATAACGCGATTTAACTCAACAAGAGAACGTTAGAATTTTAAATATTCTCGGCATAACGACTTTTACTTTATGCCGTTTTACATATCTCCTATTTCCGTTTTCCTACCTAACTACCTTCCTTATCTCCATTTATTCATTTCATTTGTTTTTCTTTCTTTGTCTGTGATAATTTAAATAACTTAGAGCCACTGAGCCTCCTTCAAGTATGCGCTCGTCTCCAGCAGAAAATTTTCAAAGATTTCCATATTCCTTTATCTTTGTCATTTCTCCATCTATTCTGAGAATCGAGAGCTACTAATTAATTACTTCACCGTGTCTCTTTAGTACATAAAGAATTTAGTTGATCTTGCTAATAAGCGAAGCTTCTGTTTCAACACCACCTTTGCCTTTATGTCTTTATTCATTTATTGATTCATATATTTATATGTGTTATTATTATCACTATTTTTATTAGTATTTAAAGCAATACCGTGAAAAAGTTTAAATTTAATTTGAACCTTTTTGCTTCTCTGGTTGATTAAAAGTTTTACGAAGAAATAACTGATGGATTCAGAAAAAACTTTTTGAATCTATAAAAGTTGCATCTATTTATTATTTTTGATAAATCTCTCAAGTTTTATTTGAAATTATCAAATACCAGACAGTATTGTGAACAATTGTTTCAGATTGTTTCTCATATTATGTTGCAAGTAATAAAAATATTTCTCTACCAGTTTCTATAGATAGATGTTTTTATGAAGCATGTTTATTTTGTATTTTTCCAACAATACAAATCAATGATTGAACATTCATTGTTTTCAGTGAAAAGTTTTTCTTCAGTTTTTTTCTTCTAATAACCTGGATACTTTATATTAATATTTTATTTCCAGAGTTCTGAACATTGGTTATTTATAAATAATTTATTTTAAAAAAATGGAGAATATGAGAAATAAAGTATTCAAATTATTAAATTAAAATCTGATATGAGTAACAAAAACTCCATTAATTATTTCCATCTTTTTCGAAATTTAATAATAAATATTTTATTTATAAAAACTAAACTTCTTTTTCCAATTCTAATAAAAATATTTAATCAAGAAATATGTTGGTTTTTTTTAAGCATTAATATTGAAAGTGATTGTTGAATTAAAAATTTTATCACATGATTTATTTGAATATTTGTACTAAAAAAAGATAATTTTGATTTATAAAAGCAATAAAAAAGTTTTGAAGCAGCAGTAAAATGTAAATAAAATTTTCATTGAATTAAAAAGTAATGCATATTGTTTGTGACTGTTTCAGATAGAGCAGAGGGTAACAAATAAATTGAAACTTAATGCGCTGAGGATGCGCACCTATTTTAGGAGAAACGGATTGCCACTTTGGGCGATATCTGTCTTCTGTCTCCTTTTCTTCATCGCCCTCTCGACCTCTTCTTCGATCGATGCTGGTAACACTAAATTCATTTAAATATTAAATAACTCCAAGAACCATACAGTTTGTTATAATTACAGTTATTCATGAGAAAAAGCTCTTGTACGTGTTTGAGTGCAAAGTTTTTTTTTGGAATTTAATCAAGTGGTCATTTTTTTCTTTCTCGTTGCTGTTCTCTGTTGATCAACGTACTGAAAAACACAATAATCTACTTAATTAACAGGACGATGAAAAAATTATTCCAAGGGTTTTTTTTTAACTTGCGTAAAAGCGAATACGTTAATTTAGTTAGTTAATTAAAATATGATTAAAGAAATTCTAATTTTCTGGCTTAATGCAAGTCTTTGAGTGCTAAATACACAGAGTCTACAGCTGTGTAGATGTTCATAGTTGTGTGAGCGCACAAAAGTCAGGTAATTTTACTGATCACAGACTCATCGAAATGAGAGCACCGTCTCTCAGTGCTTCCGGGTAAACCATACAAGAAATAACAGCTCAAGAGATGATTGCATCCATTCACTCTCGACCTATTTGTTTATTTATACTAAGTCAATAGCTTTCGATTTTTTACAATTAAGGTTTCGACTGTAAAACATACTTTGTTTGGATGAAAATATTTTAGTCAACCAATTCAAGTACTTGTTACAATTTTTTTCTTTTTACTCAATAGAAATAATTGAAAAGAATTTTTTAAATTATAAAATGAATTGTCGCAATTTGTTATAAAATACTGATAAATATTTATTTAAATTTGTTAAAATGAATTCTGACTTAAATTTGAATATTCTTTCTTTTTAATTGATATTGGATTTTAATTCATTTTCAAATCAAATCTTGTATCTAATTAAAAATGGACATTTAGTTAGTTTAATATAACTATGAATGATAGACACTCGTCTTCAAATGAATGGTAGTTTTTTTTTTCTCTTGTCAGTCTTTATTATACGAATTTTTTTTTTATTTTTAAAAATAATATAGAACTACGAACACAGCGAAAAAAAGAATATGATACTCACTGAAATTTGATCACGCATCACTATAAAAAAATTTTTTTTAATGAGAAAATAGATTGAGGTATTTAGCAAAATTTGCAATATCGGAACAGTATAATAGAAGGAAATTCTAGATTTTCACGGTATTAAGAAACATTGTTTTATAATAATATTAATCATAAGACAAAAAGATTTCTTAAAATTAACTATAAATATCTCTTAAAGCTTTAAACTTCTAAAAGGCTTTTTTGTGTATTCAACTTTTTAAGCTGAAATGAACTTTTTAAACATATAAGTGAATGAATTAATTTTCTCAAATACAATTTAGATTGTTATTTTCTACACTTAAATTCATGAATTAGAGTAATTAAAACATTCCAACAATAATTCCACTAGAGAAGATGGGTTATATTTATTATCATTTATTTTAATAATAAAATTTAATTCATTTTTTTTAATTAACATAATAAAAATTTAAACATACCAAACATTTTTTGTAAATTTATTTTCTAAAAAATGTATGAATTATATATATATATTTAATTATATCCCAATATAAATGAGTTTTATCAAAATTGTATTTATTTATTAATAAAAAAAAGAATGCATGTAAAAAATGATATAGTTTTTATAAAAGTTTGAACATGTTAAAGTTCTCCATTTTTAGTTGTCTACAAACTTTAGCGTCATATGTTTTAATGTCCTGTCTGGTTTTTACATCTCTAAAGATCATAAAACCTGTAGTTTTATTTCTGACCGCAACAAAAATGTTAAATTTATTACACAATTCGAGCCAATTGGAATGAAATAATTCTCAAATTCATGGAAAAAAAAAAATTTATTCAATTAAATGGTAAAATCAGCTAGATTTATAATGATAATTCGCCCAACTATTCTGTCAGTTGTAAATTCAGTAATACTGAATACATCATTCAATACGAAAAAAAACTATAATTTTAAATAAAAAATAAATACAATACCGTGGTCATTGAACTTTGGAGTTGTAGGGGAAAAAATATATAATGCGATGAGTGTATGTAAAAGGTAGAAGCATTAATGGCACCGTTTGAATTTATGTGCAAACAGAAAAAAAATAAAATGGTTACATGGAGTAAGTCAAGAGGAAAAAATGAAAGAGTTATAAGGGAAGGTTGTGGTGATCTTTTGAAACGTTTCTCTTGTGGCTTTGGCTTTGTTCAGTTTCCCACTAGATTTGAGAAGAACTTGGTAGAACTCTAAACTCCAACTCCAGTACATAGAGAGAAGCAAGGTTCAGTAACTGAAGTAAAGAGAGTATGTGCAGTACAGCTTTGAGATTCGTTCACAGTATTTCCTGAGCCAATTAGTACGTGCGTTCATTTGAAAATAAAAATCAGAAACTAACACAAATAGAGAGTACATGATGTTGTGGTTTAACGAGCATATCTTTTGCGCAAGCTTACATGTAAACAATACTTGTACAAGGGACGTTAGCACCCTCAAGATAGAGTCAATTTGCCTTTGACAATTCACCCAATCAGTTGATTCGAAAAAAAATTCAAAGAGACAATTGAACTGGAAAATTAAACGGAAATTTAATCAATTCATTTTTTTGCTTGAATTTATTTTCCTTATTATCATTTTTTTAAGTATTTTTTGCTTCATTCATGAACCTACCGATCGTTTATTCCATAGAAAAAAATTCAAACAAAAAAAGAATGATGAATAAAATAAAAAAACTTTAATCGATGAAATGGAAGTAATGGACGATACGATCGTATTCCCATCATGGTATTTCGCCTCCTGACTCATTCATTCTATTCATTACTCGACTATTTACATGCAAAAAAATAGTAAAAGTATTTCAAATGAAAAATCGTAACTAGCACAGCTGAACCTAAATGTTGATATATAAAGTAGTTATATACAAACATCTATAAAGTTCCTGTTCGTAAGCGATCAATTTCCGTCTGTACTGAGCAAATGAAGCTGAATAAAAACTGCTAGAGACTTGGTGTTACAAGTTGGGTAATACCGTGCGCAATAAGTGTGGCAGTAGGATGCGAGATACCGTTAACTTGGACTTGTTAGCTATTTGCGATTTCCCTGCGTAAGCATTGACCCTCTCGACTTCTCCAATGTCGCTCCTTTTAATTTATTTTTATTATCTTCATAATTGTTCCATGATTTTTGGAGATTCCTACACTTTAATTAGAAAAAAAATACGAGAATATCCTATTTTTTAATTAAAATATAAGAAATTAACTTTAAGAAAAATTTACCATTCCTTTTTTTTAAAAATCAACCTCACACTTTTTTTTTAATTCAAAAATATGTTGAAAATTTTCATTTAACTTAGGTAATTTATTTTTATTTTTTATTATTAATCTTTTCTTTCGTTATTTAGTACTTTTAAAATTTTTAATTTTATGTTAGAATCAGAATAAGAGAAATGTATATCAATGATTTTTTATAGTAAATGGAAATATTTCAACGCTTGACCTATAAACATTCTATATTTGGAATTTTTTCTCCTATAGATGAATAATAAACATAATTTTTTTGATGGGTCAAACTGATTAACATTTTATATTTAGCTGTGATGCACTTTTTCATTTTATTTGCCTAAATTTGTTTACTTTATTTTTTTAATTCAGATAATAATCATATTCATATTAACCAAGTATCTTGATATCCTTTTTATATTCCACGAATGGAAGTATTGTAATTTTCCACACCAGTGCCATACTTTTTTTTTATTCTCCGTAAACTGTATGCATCCCATTACAGATATTAAAGCTCCAAATGATCCTATAGAATATTTTACCTTTCATAAAATACCTGTAAAGGTAACATATTACTCTTATCTCATAAAAACCTTATCTCGTTGATTAGTGAGAATTTTATGTAATAAATGAATTATTTTAGTAACTAATTAACAAACTTATTTAATTAAATAACTCAATGAAATTAATCAATTTATTTATTGTTCTAGAACCTGTATTGAGATCTCCTGGACGGTGTCCAGCTCTAAATGAGCAGAGTACATGTCCATCTCGAGCTGCACCATGTTCGAGTCATTTCGAGTGCTCGAGTCCAACCGAGAAGTGTTGCGAGACTGTTTGCGGACTGAAATGTGTGCCAGGAGAACTTACTGGTTGTGAACAACTTGCTGAAGCAGCTAACAGAAGATCACGTGCTCTAGGTACACGTGGACCACCACAATTTATTCCTCAGTGCAATAACATAACTGGAGAATTCGAGAAAGTACAATGTGAACCTTCAGAAAAAAGTTGCTGGTGTGTAGATGAGTTTGGTAGCGAAATTGCAGGGACCAGATCACCAGGACGTGAATTCGTTGATTGTAATAATCCGAAACTATGTCAAGCACATTCTTGTCGAATGTTTTGTCCTTTGGGTTTTGAGGTGAATATATATTTCAATATTAAAATATTTGTAATGAAATATTATTCAAGATTATTTTATGAAAATACTTTAAATACCTTACTAAAGTATAGATTAAAATCTATTACTTAATTCATTTTTGTAAAAAATTTTTAAACAACTTTATAATCAAGATTTTAACTGATGTTATTGACAATATTTATTACAATAGAAAATGAAGAAGTTCTATGGGTTTGTTATGAATAGAGTTGTTTATTAATAATTCAATTAAAGCCCGGAAATAAGAGCTTTATAGTGAACATTCATGATTATATTTAATTCAGGAAAGTTTAAATTTATCTAAGAAAAATCACGAATTTCAATTTCCTATAGATGATTCGCATAATCCTCTTACGTCTGATAAATTAGATTACGATTTTCTAATTTAATTCTGTCTATCGATTACATTGTTATAAGATTATTCCAGACAATACTAATTATTGTGACAATAAAAGTTACTTTCTTCTTTTTTATGTTAAATATCTCTATCATTTAATTTAATTAAATATTACAATTTTAACAGAAGATTTATTTCAATTATTTACAAAATATTCTTAGTAGATTTTAAAAATCAATATTTGTTTTATTTTGAAAAAGTGAATATGACGTAGGTTGTAACCTTTTAATGTCAATGGTCATGAATTCATTTTATCAAGAATAGTTTAGTAATTCAGTTAAGAGAGATTCAATATGTCTTAATTAATATTGACACAATTGAAAATTTACAGATTGACGAAGAAACTGGATGTCCAAAATGCGAATGTCGAGATCCTTGCAAAGGAGTAGTGTGTCCAGGTTCAGGGCAAACCTGTGAATTGATTGAATCGTCATGTGCACGGCCACCGTGTCCACCAATTCCCAGCTGTCGAAAAGCTAAATCCCTGGCGACCATTTGTCCCGCTGGTGAACCACTTCAAATCACCGATTCTCCACGTCCTTTCCTATGTGGAGACACTCCTGGTAAACCAACATGTCCACCTCTGTATCAATGCTTAGTGGAAGCCCATCAAGAGTACGGAGTTTGTTGTCCATCAAGTCTTCATTTACATCGACCTGGTAGTTGTCCATCTGTCGAACCTTCAATATGTGGTTGGTCATGTATACACGACTTCGATTGTCTAGAGCCAGAGATATGCTGTGATACCTCATCATGCGGTGGACCAGTTTGTACACTTCCATCGGGACTTAGTGCATGCCGGAAAAATCGTATCCTTGCAGAGATGTTGAGTGTTTCGGAAAAGCAAGGAAGAGGATACATTCCTCAGTGTAAAGATAATGGCGGATATGAACCGAAACAGTGCTCAAGAAATGGCTTAGTTTGTTGGTGCGTTGATGTGGATGGAAAAAAAATATCTGGAACAATGGGCTCTGGAGAAACAGTTAATTGTCACGAAACTGTAAAGTCTAAAGCTCGAGCACTTCCAACTAATTGTACTCTTCAACAATGTGCTCAAGTTTGTCAATACGGCTTCAAAGTTGATGAATATGGATGCTCAACGTGCGAATGCGATAATCCTTGTGAAGGGTATTATTTTTATTCATTAAATCAATCCTAGACAATATATTGTTATCGACAAATTTCTTTTTAAAAGTTTTTTTATCAATTACATAACAAAAAAAAATTAAATTAACTAAATTCTTTTGTTTAATATCACCCATTAATGGATTAGTTATTTAAACTTTTAAATGATAACAAAAATACTTTTTTGATTTGATTCATTAATTTCGTTCAATGTTTCGTTACAGTTATCCTTGTCCAGCAGACCAAGAGTGTACTTTATATCGTGAGAGTGCCTGTCCTGATTTTCTCTGCCCCACGATTCCAGAGTGTCGTCCAAAGACATTTAACCCATGTTTACATGGTGCACCCTTAAAGTATGATGATGGAAATATAGTCACTTGCATTAAAGACTATCTGTGTCCTTCGAACCATGTTTGCACTGCGGATCCTGTTGCCCAGAAGTGGGTTTGCTGTCCTGAGTTCGCTCACATACTAAAACAACCGACAAGTGAGTATTTGAAATCTTTTTTTTTTTATTTCATTCAATAATGATCACTCTTATAATTCAACTCTGATATTTAACAAGCATAAAGAGTAAGCAAGTCTTTTTTCATCTTTTTCTAAATAAAATAATACAATCTTGTTAAGTAAAAAAGTATGAGTTGAATTTTTTATTTAATAAAAGGAATTCTTTTGTTCATTTAGAAATAAAATATTTAAAAACTTGAACATTTCGAAAGCTAATTAACTGAATGAGTTAAAATAGAAGTTTTTAATTATGGTACATTTTCTTTTCTAAATTAAATATTACTTTCATTTATTTGAAAATTGAAAACTAATTATATTAAATTATTTTTGTACTCATGAGTATTTATAAATGAAAAATAAAATATTCAAATTTACATTTATCAATTAAAGTAGTAAATTGTTTTATATCATGAATATTTTTTCATCAACCCCTAAATTAATTGTATTATAGTGTTTGTTAATTGTTATCTATATTTGAACAATAGTTTAGTCAATAATCAAGACGATATCTTTATTTTCTATTTTTTAAAAAATGGACTAGATGGAAAATCTATATCAATTATCGAATAAATTACTCTTTTATGTTCTCTAGTGTGTGAATATTTAAGAGACTTCAACAACCGGATGGAAGGAACTCGAGAAGGCATGCGATTAGCAATTCCACCGCCCAAATGTGCACCTGATGGAAGCTATAAATCACTTCAGTGTCATGAATCGCAGTGTGATTGCGTCAATGAACAAGGAGTGCCCCTAAAGACCAACATTACGATGGATATTGATTGCGAGGAAGTCCGAAGACTCACAGGAATATGCGAAACCACAGAATGCGATTTAAAATGTCCCTACGGTCGAGAAGTGGATGAGGCAGGATGCGAGATTTGTCGATGTAGAGATCCATGTCAAAATGTTTTGTGTGGAGATCATGAAACTTGCACAATGGTCGATGTAAACTGTGGAGAGGGTCAAAACTGTTCTCAAGTTCCAGCTTGTCTCAAAGTAAAACCAGGACAATGTCCTTATTTAGTACCAAGTTCTTCAAGTTGCGAAGTACACTGTAGTAATGATCAGGAATGCTCTGAAGACCGAAAATGCTGCTCCACCGGATGTGGAACTCAATGTGTAACACCAGTCGTTGCCACAGCTTGTCAGCATGCTCGATCATTAGCTGAACATGCTGCAAGAGAATCCGGGGAACCAGCAAGAAGGATTTATATTCCCAAATGTGACGAAAAAGGAAGTTTTGAACCAATTCAGTGTCACAAAGAGATGTGCTGGTGTGTTGATGATGAAGGAAAAGAAATAATAGGAACTCGAGTACCAGAAGGAGTTAATCCAACATGTAACACACCAGTACACTGTCCTGAAATCGAATGTCACTTGGACTGCCCTGAAGGTTTGAATTTAGACCCTTCGGGGTGTCCTATTTGTTCCTGTCGAGATCCTTGTAAAGCAATCAATTGTCGAGGAGAAAACGAAGCATGTAGAATGGTTGAAGTTGCTTGCAGTGCTCCACCCTGTCCTCCAGTACCAGTTTGCTTACCTAAAAAAGATAATCCTTGCCCCAACGGCTCTCCACTTCTTACTCAAGAGGGATCTCCTGCTATATGTGGTCCGCATGGTCAACATTGCCCTACAACACATAAATGTGAACTCTCGCCTCTTGATGAGTACGCTGTGTGTTGTCCAAAACCAAGGGAAGTATGCTTTGAAGCTCCACAGATAATTGAATGTGCTCCAAATAGAGGAATGAATGAAACTGAGAGATGGTACTTTGATCCTGAACTCAATGAATGCAGAAGGAAATCGGGATGTTCTATTGGTCATAATGATTTCTCTAGTAAATTAGTTTGCGATGATATATGTCCAATTTTGACTCCATGTGAATTGCAAAGAGAAAGAAACCTAAAAAAAGCACAAAGTCTTAATCAGCCAATATTCTTACCAAGATGTAATGCTGACACTGGAGCTTGGGAACCTGTTCAATGTCTAGAACACGTAGGAGTATGTTGGTGTGTAGATCGTAAAGGTGTTAGCATCAAGGGATCGCTAGTACGTGGTGAAGAACCAAAATGTAACTTTAGACAAGCTCGCAAGGGCAAAGGTCCCGTGGAAATTGATCCGGAAATTGCGGCCTACATGGAAAATGCTTTAGTTAAACTAGCAGATGAAGAGAAGCCTGTAGCAAAGTCTTTAATCACTAGGTGTGAAGCAATGAAGGAAAGAGGGCATGTACCGACGACATGCGATCAAGACGGAAAGTTTGAACCAACACAATGTGCTGGAGATACTTGCTGGTGTGTCGACGAAGCGGGTAATCAGATTGTTGGATCAGAACCATTTTTTAAGGGAACTAGAATGTGTTGTAAGTACTCGAAATTTTAACTTCAATATTTTTATGATAAAAATTAAATCAACAATGGTGTATTAAAAGAGAAAACAAGATAAATATTCATATTTCTCGTATATATAAATAGTTTTTCAGATTCTAATTTCTCCAACTTTATGTTGTATTCATCTCTTGACTGTTGATTTCCTTCTTCTCTTTTGATATTTAATCAACGCAAAAGTTTTTTCGAGTGTTATGTAAATGAATGTATATCTTTCAAAGCTTTAAATGAAGTATTTTCTTCATAACCATCTGTACAGTTCTTACTAAACATTAAAATGTAATTAGCATTCAAAAAATAATTAAGTTCTTAAACTTATTATCACTTTTATTATTAAATATAAACTTACAAAAATATATTTAAAAAATTAAAAATTTAAGAAAATTCTTTTTATAATTAAATATTTAACATACTAATCATAAATTAACAAAACATTTAACTGAATCTAGTATGATGAAAAGCAAATAATTTAAATGAAATACCAACGTGTTAAATAACTAAACAAACTATCTGAAAAATCACAGACTTAATTAAACATGTTATTTACTTTTCAGTAATGACACCCGTAGAAGCTGTAGAAGTAACACTTCGTTTTCCCGGTCATTTCGTGAATGAGGACACGAGTCGTTTTACAACGGCAGCAGAAGATCTTATGCGTGATTTGAATGCAAATATAAAAGATGGAATCGCAGTTGAATTAGATCTCGACGCAGCTATAATTGGATTTGAAGTTGTGGGTGAAAACAAAGTAGACGTTGCTTTCCATCTTGAAGAGTTGACGAGAAGTCGAAGTTTATCTCTTCTTGGATCGATTGCTGATGCAACTACTTCAAGATTTATCCATAGACCTTTATCTTTTGAGGCAGAAGACAAGATAATGGCTCTTGAGCAACGGGATATGTTTTCTGAAACTGAATCTCCTATCTATCAAACTACAACAGTCGTTCTCGCAGTTGCTAGCGCCATTATCATCAGCAGTTTGATTATCTTGCTACTGATTTACCGGAAAAAGGTTGGCACCTATTACTTTAATTACAGATTTACTTTATATCTAGCATTTAAGAGTAACAAGGAAAACAGAGAGTTGAGAAAATTCTTATACAATCAACTTCTTCCCAGGCAATTGAAAAAGTATTTCCAATATTTCTTTAAATTTTTATTTTCATTTTATTTTATTGAGCTTCTCGTCATATAAATGTTTTTGTATTAAAGTAACAGTAATTAAAACCAAGGAAAAAAATGAAAAAAAAAACTTTCAAAAGAATAATTCCAGTTTGCATTGATGTAATTATAAAGAAATGTTTTTGCATACTATTAACTTCATGGTATTGAAAAACTCTGAAGCTTCTTTTCAAGTATTTCATTGTGATTCAATTATAGCTTTGGTTCAACAGCTACGAATATTCAGTTCTTTGAAAATAAATCTTATTATTTTATTAAATAAATTAATATTATATCGACTTATTTTTCATCATTATATTTCTCTTAGAAGTTATTTTTAACTGTTATTAGTGCAGAAACTTAATTGAAATGCAATTATTACTTTCGTATCCTCTGATGTCTAAATTCAAATAAAAATACGATAATAATTGCTTTATAATTACTTTCTAAGTAAAATAATAAAAATGATGATCCAAATGAATTTTATCATAGAAAGACTCCAGCTATATGCTCTATTCCTTTGTATTTTTTACTATTGATCAAGCCCGTATAATAATCGAGTAAATTTTCATTTTGCATCTTCAAAGACTATTCCCGCAATAGTAGTCTGGATATTATAATAGAAATGAATTCGGATAAATTTTTTTGTTTTAAAAGTACATATTAAAAATCTAGTAATCAATTTTTCAAGAATTTTTCGTAGCTATATGTATATTTGTTTTTAAGAAATAAGGTTTTTTCTCCACTTATCTAAGAAGTCTTAATGGCTAAACAAGTTGAAACATAAAAGAAAGACATAAGGTTCATCCTAACCATTACATTTTATCAATAAAGAACGACATGATAAAAAAAATATATACTTCTCAAACCTCTTACAAGAACTTTACTTTTGATTTTATCTTCTTTTCTGCCTTAGAGCACAATAGTTTTATAACAAACTTATTAAGAATCCAATTTTTCCAGATGAAAACGAGATATTGTACTCCAAAATCAGAAGGAACGGATCAGCGCTTTTTGGCTTATGACAAGCAGCCAGTATATGTGATATCTGGTGCGGATAAGGACGATAAGGATATCGAGGTTGCAAGAGAAATACGCGAGAGCCTCCAAGCAGCAAAGGAAATTGCTCAGACATAAACTTCCGCGAGTTTCTTCGATGTAGCATCAGTCCTTCTCTAAGTCAACTCCAAGTACCGTTAGAGGCATGGTTAGGCCTTCAAGCAAAGGCTTGGGAAGGCTTGAAACTCGAGCATGTTCTGCCTCGGGTATAGGGTCCTCTATATATTAGATAGCAGAGCATCTCCGCATGATCGATCTCTAGGTAACGGCCACGGTAGTTTTCCTCTATGTCATAAATTTGTTCTGAAATGTAATGACTTTCTTTATGATGGTATTAAATGAGATAATGACAAATTGAACAAATAACATTCCGGTATACATAATTTCACGCTTTAGATCTATCATAAAATGATGGGTTTTTTTTTTTTTAATTTTTACTTTATGATAATAAAAAAAAAAAAAAATCGTATGTGCCGTTTAAGCATAGCGTGAAGAGTGAGCAAATTAATAAACTATAATTGAAATATTTTAGAAATATTTTCGAGAGTTTTCTGAAGTCACTGACATCAATTTAAATATGTCATTGACGTCAGAAGTATCGAAAGTAGCACATGTAGATGCATATCGTGTATACATGACGTGCAAAGTGATATAGTTACATTATTAATAATGAATTAAAATATAATTCAATTCATCAATTCGATATATCATCTATAGTTTAGCAATTGTACATATCGATATCGCAACTATCACTTTTAACTCTAATTTATTATTTATTTTGTATTTTTTATATATTCAACTAAATATTATAATTTTCACTGTTCTTCACTGTGCGGTAGTTAACTTTCAAATTGAATCATTTAAAATGATTAATCTGCTACTAATTACATAGCCAATGAAAATATATTGAAATTATTAGCAGTTGAATCTTTAATTATCTTCAATGTGCACATATTTACATAAGTACACGAAGAATAGTGTTCAAAATTAAAATATTTCACAGAACTTTTGATCAGATATCTTCGAGTAGTATCTAGTTCATTTATCATATTTAAACATTCATATTTTACTTGAAGATGTCTGATACAAATGCCTACATTCTGAAAATGTTTAAGAATGTATTATTTATTTATTCGTCTTTATATTTCATAATCTATTAATAAATATTCAAAAATGAAATTCTATGTATTTTTCAATTCCTATCCAATCCCAAATTTACAATCAATAATTATTATACTTGAATATTTTAGAATAAGTTTATTGAATAATTGAAAAAATTGTTGTAGCAACTGAACTACTAATATTTTTAAAAAAATTTCAATTTCAATATACCACGAGAAAATTTTCAAGCACATTTATATTGACATACGTCAGTCTCACGTGCTACATTGCTGCTAAGCAACGAAACCCTAAATAAAACACCCAACTGGTGTTAGTATGGCGTAGATCTCAAATACAGTAGATATAAAGACTAAGGGAAACTACTCCATCATTTTTAAATTAACTTATATCATTCTAAATCCATCATGCTTTTTACTTTCACTATAATTCAATTCATTTGGTTGACATTTACAATTTTCTGACTACGATAAAAAAAATTCAAGAGGCAGTATATTAATACAGAGATGACAGCATGTTGTTGTTACTCCGAAATAAAGAGTTCTGGTGAGTAGGAAAGTTTATCAAATTTGAATGAGAAAATTTTTTTATTGAGTAAGTTAAGGTAATAGTATTACAAGTAAGCGTACTATTTACCTATTTATCTATTTACCTGTTTATTATTCATGACTAGTCTACAATCAGACTGGAGAAGGATTTTTCAAGCAATTAGCAGCTTACAATCACATGAGTGCACATTTGAGACGAGTTCTGTTGGCGAAGAGTCGTGTTGATTCAAGGAATCCAAACTACTTACGGAGACGAAGAACTATGTCCACAGGTAGAGCTAAATTTACAGAGAAAACGGCCTCTCAAGAGCTTATAGACCAACTGGCTTACGATACTGAACATCATCCTATGGTAAACGTAACTCTTTTTTTAAAATGAATTTTAAAATCAAGTCAAAAATATATCTATATATATATACATAATATAATTATTAAAATAACAAAAATAAAACAGTAATAGATGAACTTGAATATTATTGAATTATTACAAGTATTTTTATGTTTTTTCTTTAAATACTTGTCATCAGATGCATTGTTAACAAATGACATGTACGGGTTATTAATCAATATTGTCATCATAATTATTAAACTAACGAATTAATATTAAGAATTAAATTTTGTAATAACTTGACATTTACATAATATAAATATTTATTATCTTATCGATAATAATATGCCACAATTATTTTATTTTATAACCAATTTTCAGCGGAATCCATTGATATACGATCATCTTTTGATCTCAAAATAAGCTATGACGGACAAAAAAATCTTTGCAGTATTCAGGCAGTAGGATGTTGAGAGAGGTATTTGATTTTTCGGGTGATTTCGTAAATCTTCGGAAATGGAGAACAGAAAAATGAGTTGGTATATTTAAAAAAAAATATTTAGCGCCCCCTCGTTTTTTTTTTCTTAGAACAATTAAAAAATTCAAATGAATTTCTTTATTAAAAATAACAACTCATTTTCCTGTTTCCCCGTTCCCGACGATTCACGAAATTGCCCGAAAAATCAAATACCTCTTTCAACATCCTACTGCCTGAATACTAAAAAGATTTTTTTGTCTGTTCCGGCCTATTTGCCAACTAAATTATGATGGTACAAATATCAATGGATTGAGATAAAAACTTTTTTCTAAATTAAATATACAACATATTGTTAAATAAATATAAAGTTTATGAATTATTGACTATTTAAATAACTATGAACTTGATATTAATTAATTAATTGAATAATTAATAGTAAATATTAATTAGTAACCTTCTACATGTCAAATGTCCGGAATGCATTTTTTGTATGATTAAATATTTGTGGGTTATAATAAGACAATTGAATATTTTATGGAAAATGAAGTATAAGAAATATTCAAATAAATTTTTGTTCTCTACAAAATTGTAAATATTATAAATAATTAACACAATAATATAACCTAAATACTGTCAAAAAATGTAAAGTCAAATTAGCCGTCAAGATTTTTAGTTTTTTTTTTATAAAAAGGGAAAGAAAAGTACAAGTATAACATAAAATTATAATTAAACAACGAAATTGAAAATAGTGAGTCAAGTTTTATGATTTTATTTCAAATAAACATTTAATTACACACTATTCTTTTAACAGGAAATCGTCAGAATGCGTTACAGCTTAGATAGTCGATTACAGGATCGATCAAAGAAATGTCCTGTGTCTTGCAAAAATTTCTTGATAGACTGCCCAGGGATTCATCTTAATCCTATAACTAGTAGATTAACGGAGAGTGATAGAAATCGTTTTTCTTCAAGATCTAGACCTCGAGGATCTGGTTTATCATTTCATTCAGCACGCCCAGGGACATTTAAAAAGAACTATGCAAACCGAGGAGATCAAAAAGAAGAGATGATTTCTTCTCATCATACAGAAAGTGCTCGTTCGTCCCCAAGGTATGGAGCTACTTTTATCTTTAAATGTTTCTTTAAGTACATTTATGCTTTCTGTATTTTTTTTATAAATCTCTAGATCTGTGAAGAATAAAGATGATAATGATCAAATTGACCACAATTACGCATCAAGTTTTGAATCCCCTTCAGAGATATCTCGTAGAGACTCAATAGCTTCAAAAGGATCTGTATCAAGTCAAAGTTATGTGGAGAGTATCTTTACGGAAAAAAATAAAGAAAAACGAGAAAATTCTCCCTCCAAACTATCAGAGGAAGCTAAATATTCAAAGTTTTTATATGATATAACTCAAGAGATTGTTCAAAATGGTTTATATAAAGACGAAGAGCTAAAGGAAGTTTTTAAGAGACATATTAAACGGAACTCTCATATACTAGACAGGGTAAAGTGATTTAGAAGCTATAAAATTTTTTCTATAATGAAAATCCAATTTTTCAAATTTGTCATTAATTTCCACTTTATGAAAATTCAAATTTAGAACAAATTGCAATAATGATTCATTTTGAAAGACTGCCTTTACTTGTAATAATTATTTTCAATATAATATAATAGTAATTTATATCTTTTATATTGATCCACGAAGAAGTTTCAAAGAATTTTCATTTTTATTCATATGATGGTCGTAACTCTTTAATAAGATACGGACTATCAGACTTGGTAGGCAAACTTTTAACAGATAATTATTATTGAAAGTTTGCTTCTGGGTGATTGGATGTTATATTAGGTAAAATATGGCTTTTATCATTATAACCATTAGAGAAAAATGATAAAATGAATAATTTGTTATCAATTTATTTAAAAATTTAAATTTTCTAACTTTTTAAACTAATTTAAAATTTTTTACTAACTCATTTAAATTCAGTTCACTTATTCAATCATTAAATAGCATCACTCCAACAGTTAAGTTATAATATTGAATTATTAGTTTCGATTAATAATGAAAGTTTGGTTATTCTGTTTTAGAATAAAATGATGTATGAACTCTATCAATTAAAGTTGTCTCTAAACTTGATCGATCATGATGATGATGATGAAGAAGAAACTATTGAACGATTTTTACACTCAAGAAAATATTCTGTTGTAAAACCACCGACTCCACCCAAGGTTCTTGATGAGAATAAAATAGTAGATAAATTAATGAATCCAGAAGACCTAAAAGCTACATATAGCAAATCACCTCATAGTGGTCGACATACTGTGGTACTTGTCGACGCTAATCCAGAGTTACTGGTTACAGAGAGAGATATTTTAGCTACTCTTATGGAGATGAATATCAGTCCTCAGCAAGCTCATGATGTCTATAAGCGTCTACAGAAGAAGAGTAAAGATTTGCATCCATTACAAACGGTAAAGCTTTGTCTTTAAATAATCTTTTTACTCTTTAACATACCTTCCCTTTGTTTTTCACTTTTCCTCACGAAAATCCTACGAGAAAAATCGTCTAGATTACGTTGTATTCAGAAAAAGAACGGTCGGCCAGGTCCAGGGGGAGAAGATAGACAGAGCAATCCCACCCATTTCCTCAGGCCACAAACTGAAGTCGAAGAAGAAATCGAAACGGACAGATCAACATCATCCTAATTACTTGGAGACTTTGGAAAAGGATTTCAGTACTGATTATCCAGTCTATTTGGATCACTTACCAGAGTATTATCCAAGATCATCAAGGTGTACTTGTCAAGGGAATAATCAAAATTTATTCTATAATGTTTGTCATTGTCAACGAAGGTGAGAATTAACTATAAATTGTAAATAGAATCCTAGTAAACAAAGTTTGAATGTAAAACATGATTTTTTATATAACAATTTGTTACTTGTTTTCATAAGAATAAATTTTTTCTAAAAAGAGATGTAACTTCAATTGAAGTCGATTTGAATATAAATTATGAATAAAAGAACAAATTAAAATTTATTAAGAACTTTTTTTTAATTATTGATAATTAAATTCTATCAATTACTATGTCAAAGGTTACCAGTTAAATTACTCTATTGTTCTGGAGTATCTCCAAGTCGCTCAAGTATTAAATCAAGGTCTTCGAACGAAAAAAAAATAATTGACGCTGATAAAAAAGTCAAGAACCCTGAAGTAACTGGCCCTAAATGTTTTTGTTCAACAAGGGTCACGCCAAAGAAGAATTTATTGGGGTCAAGTCAAGCAAAAAAGGATGCTGATATGAGAGACAACGAAAAAGTTAAAAAATATGTGGAAATTGTGAAAATTAAAAGTGATAGTAAGACACCTGAAAAACAAATAAATAATTCTAAATTGAAAATTAAATCATCAAAATCATTAGAGCTATTATCAAGAAAGTCAACACAATCTTCAGCTCTTAAAAGTTTACCAAAGAAAGAAATTCAAACAAAAGAAAAGGGTAATGCCAAAAAAAATGGGTTGGTTGATATTACACATAAATTATTGGAAGTATTAATAAGAATTTTATGTTTATTTTCAGCTAATTCAAGTAAGTCATCACAATTTTCTTTAACTAATCGTAAAAATTCTGAAAAACCAAAAACGTCAGATAAAATTTCTCTGGATACTAAAAAAAGTAGTTCTCCAAGAATAAAAAGTTCCATTATGAAAGATTCAACCAAATCACCAAAAGTGCTGAAGGAAATTAAACCACAACTTTCAGATGAATCGGAAGAATCTATTGTAGAATCTTATTCTGAAGCTGAATCAACTGTTGAAGAAAATTCAACACACTCAAATCGCGAAGTAGATACCGAAAAGTCTGAAAGCAAGCACAGCTCCATATCAAATCGAGATGGAAATGAAGAGAAAGATAGTAATGGTGATGAAAGTGTAGAAGAAATCGATAATGTAAACGAAAATGTGGACATTCAGTTAAATAGTTGAGAATCTGAAAGTTTTCACACTAATTGTAATTAATGTTTATTTCAAGATAACTTATAATTGATTGGAATACATCACAGATTAAAAAGATTAAAGAACTCCAGAAAAGAATAAATTCATTCTGACTAATGTATGGAAAGGGATGATTAAGTTATTTGAAAAAAAGAAAAAAACCTATAAAAATAAAAGTACTTGTCATTAAAAGTTTTAATAGATTAAAAGCCGACTTGATTAAATATTTTTCTAGACTTATTTAAGCGAGTCCTCAGAAGTTTTATCATCTGGCGTTCGAAGTCTCTTCATTTCCGTGTAAAGCGGTTAAAAAAAAAACAAAAATCAGTAAATATGAAGAAGCTTAAATGAAATAAAATAATTATCTAAAGTAAATTAAAATTATACATGAAATTACATAAATAGTCAACCAAGAAGTTATTGTAATTTATTTCAATAATGTGTTGAGAACAATTTATTAATTTATATTTTTATAATTTTATTAAATAAAAAAATAATTTATTTGTTAATAGATGACTATTAAATAAAAAGTTATATCATTCCACTATAATTTATAAGAAAGAATTGTTGAAAATGTTATAATAAAATAACAATAATTCTAGTTATTGAGTTATCCTTTATTGATTTAGTACGATATTGTTGAAGAAAAATACAGTTTTGATCGTCATTGTAATATTTTTATACTGACAGAAGATAGAAGAATTTCAACGTTAAAATTATTTAATAATTGAGTATAAGCTCTATCATTGAGATTGATCATTAATAATAATTAATGATAAGATTATTTGTGCTCCATATTGCATTTATTGTAATCCTGATTGATGGACATCAATAAACAACAATAAACTGTAATATTATTGTGAAAAAATATAATGTATCAATCTGTACATGCATAACCAGTACACTCATACAGACTGTACATGCTTGCTATATATTTTTTGATTATTTTTACATCATCACAAATATTATTTATTTATCAATGATTAGTTAATAATTATTGACTTGTCTATACAACTCAACTAATGAAATATATTAAAGACAAAATAGAGATCAAGAATAGAAAAAATTTATTGAAAAATGAATTTTTAAATTGAATACGATGTATTTAAACCTATCAAGACAGTTAGTAGTATAAGATTTACATATATTTATGTATATATGTATAACATTAACAAAATATAATTAATTTATACAATAAAACTAAGCTGCATAATAATTATCCATAATACCTACTTTTATATTTCCACATTTTTTTTGTACATTTGGTGAGACTCTAATACCTCTTTTTTAGACCAACTAAATATTTTAACCAGTCAGTTACAGTGATTAATTGTGAAATAAACAATCAAAGTAATGGTCATAATAAAAAATGATCATAAAAAAACCCAAATAAATTACCTGAGAAAGGAATTGCATTACATTTAATATTAATAGCAGAAGATTATAAAAATCTTGAGTAAATTTCTTTAGAGAATTATGTTATTTTTAATTCTCAGTTAATCATCAGTTTGATGGTAAAAATTCATAGATTCTGGACTACTCTACCAATCCGACGATTCAACATCAATCAGATACTTCATTCAATTTTCAATGTAATCTCAATCTTCAATTATTTCTTTAAATATTCCTTCAGTTAAGGAAAATTCTTCAAATGCGAAGATGTATGTACTTCCAATAGTGGATAATCTTATTATCTCATCAGCTTCCATCAGATGCATTTGAAGAGGAATCTTCAAGCTCCGGAGCACCTGGACGACGATTCAAAATACCTAGCAAGTCTGTCACACGTTTAATAGTGTAATTCGGCTTCGGTTCATCAGCTGATAGTCTTGTTTTATCTGATAGTGGTATCCAAACTGTCCCACTTAATCCGGCTTCAATACCGCCTGTAGAAATAATTTTATCACATTTCATAATTTTGTTTTTATCACATATCGTTTAATCTAAAAGAATAATATAAGTTATTAAATACAAAATAAATAAAAATATACTTTATAATTAATTTCTTATTCAGTTTAAGTATGATTTGTGAAGTGAAAATGTAAAGATGTTTCCTAGGTATGTTCTTCTGGAACTAGTAATTCAATCCTGTTATTGAAAATATGAACTATATATTGCAAGTAAAATGGAGTGCATACTTTATGTATCACAGAGAAATATTCTTCTGATAATAGAATTTTTTCTTTGAGAAATATTTATTTTGTGCAGATAAAAATGAGAATTTTTCAAAAAATTCTGTTTCATAAAAAAGTTTTCCGTTTTTAAATGATTTCTAAAAAATATTACAATATTTACTGACAACTACTGTAAATCTTTTCAAAAGTGTCGTATGGTAGTTTAATAATAAAATATTTATGTCCTGTTGCAAAACTCTTTGCAATATATTATTTATACTCTGTGATACAAGAAAACTCACTCCTTATCAGCTTGTAGCAAATATTTTTCTAGTTTCAACAAACTCCAAACATTTGTTTATTTTGTGAAGATTTAATTTTTTTTTTCAACTTGTAAATTTTCAAGATACTTATTATTTTCGTCTTTATATAAGAGTTAATTAAGATTAATAATTGAGATTGTAAAAAAGAAACAATCCTTTGCTACAATCTGATAAAAGGTATTTAACAGTTATCAATGAATTACCTAATATATCTGTTTCTATTTTATCTCCAACCATTATACAATTACTCGGCGAAACTCCAAGAATTCTGCAAGCTTCATGAAATATACGTGCTTCAGGTTTTTCCCAAGGCAGATCTCCAGATACTAGGACGACATCGAAATAACGAGTGATGTCGAGTTGTCGTATTTTTTCCCACTGTGCATTTGAGGATCCATTGGTAATTAAACCAAGCAGGTACTTCTTTCTTAGCTCCAGAAGCATTGATAGTGTTTCTGGAGTCAATGCGAGGTAGTGATATCTCAGGTACAACCATCTTTCGTAGATTTTATTAGCCAAGTATGAATACTTGTCACCTAGAGCTTTATTCCAAAGTGATGTGCGCCACGTATCAAGATCATATGCTGTGTTGTCAGGACATTTTCTGAACTGCTTCAGGTATGTTGCAGTGATCCTTGATGATGTCTCATGAGGCACGTTGTACAGCTGCGTCAACTCCTCCGTAAGCTACTTAAGTAAAAGATAAAAAAAAAAAAAAAGTATCAAAGGAAATGTTCTCAATTTTATGTTACAAAGCAAAAGGGAAGAATTGAAACAGTTGATACCACATCCAAATTATTCTACTGCGTCTTGATGATATCACGAAGTATTAAATTATGAAATTTTTGAAAATATTCATAATTAGCACATCAAATTGGCAACATGTCTTGGCAGAAAACAGTAAAATTATTGAATGTGGCATTCATTAAATACTAAAATGGGCTCATCAGTCTGTAGAATGAAAAATTAGGCTAAATTAAGACGCTTAATTCATAGTTGGTGATTACCTAGAAAATTGCATTGACTGAATCAAATACCCGTGCCGATTTATTTGGACACTTGAAGACGCACCCACGGACACTGCTGTAATCACAACAAAATCAGTTGTGCCAACAACAGACTTAATTGGCAATAGAAATTTGTTTCCAAATAAGTCTGATAACAAAAAATGTTGAAAGCACACCAATGTTTATAACCAAGGAGATCATAAATAAATAAAAAATACGAAATTTATAAAAATTAATTTCGTTTAATCAATTACAATTTTTTTGATACATTTTTTTCTTGTGTTTTTATAGTTTCAATTTTTATGTAATGTTTATTACTTTGAGAAATTTTTAGTCTGACTCATTAAATCAATTTCTGGTTTTATTATTTGTTGAAAAAATTATAATTTTTCGTATTAATCTGGTTGTAGAAAATCGCATCGTAAAAAAGAAATAAAAATAGCACAGCCACCAAGACGATGCTGGTTGTTTGAAACAAAAATTTACTCAGAAAAATAATACACAAAAATTTTTCTGATAAAATATTCTAGTAATGAGTTGTTGCAAGAAATGTAGAAATAAGTAAAAATACAATTTATGAAGTACTCCATTGATCAAAAGTGAGTAAACATGTTTATCAATTCAAATGACTAATATCATTCGACTAAGAAAGTATAAATACAATTTTCAGCATCGTCTAGCTTGCCAAAGAACTATTTCTAGGTATGATGCGCCTAAAAATATAATGAGAAACTCTGTCTATAATCTATCATTCCACACAATGAGCAGTAATGCTTTAGTGAATCATAAATTTAAATGCTATTACATAAATAATCCATTAGAATAGATTAAACTATTTTTTTACTGAGTTTTTTTCAATTGCAAACAACTTTTTTATTCCAATTCTATCAGTCAATTAAACGATTTTTTAATTATTCACACAACCATTTCATACAGTCATATTAAATATTCATGTTTGATCTTCTTCTATATTTTCTTCTTAGTCTCCAAATAAACACTTGCCCAAATCCATCATACGATGATTTCTACAGACAGTAAGTGCGTCGCATTTCTTCAATACAGCACTAACTCTTGAATCAGCTTTGACTAGATGACAAAGTAAATCTTCATAAGCAGATTTGACATTCGGTGGAAGAGAACCAGTTCGAACTTTCTTTAAGATATCGAAAATTCCTTCGACCCATCCAGATTCAATAGCAAACTCTGAAAGCCATGGAATTTGTTGTACGACACTAGCCATTGTCTGCATTCCTAAGAACCATAATTCCATTATTTCCATCCAATGTTCTTTATAAGCCATGGAAACAACAAGTTCTGGATGATAATCTCCTTCATCCACAGTATAAGCATCCCACAGAAATCTTATTGTAGCCTGAATATAACGACAAATGCTAAAGTCATTCTTCTTCACCAACTTTGCTTGCTGTTTGAGCAGTAAAAGTCCTAGAACTGCAAGATGGCCGTGGAGAACAAGGTTTTCACTAGTTTGTTTAAGTTCTGGCAGATTATTGAAAATAAACTTCAGTAGACCAATGAAAGTTGATGATTGCTCAACTAACTTTGCTTCAAGAACTGTAATATTCATCAAAACGTTGCATATAGAAACCATAGCAGCACGAGAATCCTTCATCTCTTCTAAAAGATGAGGGTCGAGTTCTTTCTCAGGCTCTTTAATTGCCTTCAGGCGCTCTGAACGAGGAACTGGTGGTTTTTTATAATGAACAATAGTCCAATGATAAGATAGACATTCAAAAAGAATTTCTTCTTGTTTATGTTTCAAGAGAATTTTTCTAGCTTCCTCTTCAACAGCTAAGTAACATAATGCTGGCAGCATAACTCTAAGGACATCAATTTCACTCAAAGGGTCATGTACTACAGGCTCTCCAGATGATGATCCTTCATCAGGTTTAGCTAAAGCTTTAGCTTTCTCTGATAATTTTCTATTTCGATGAGCATAAAATGTGTCATTAGCAATTGTTAACATATAAGGCAGTACAGCATATACTTGTGGGCGCATTGCTGAAGTTTCCTGAGCAAGCCAAGCAGCTAAAACTCTCACCATGGCACAGACAAAGACTCGCTCTTTGATATCTGTTAATTCTTTCATTTTAGAAATATTTGTAAGCAAACCAATGACAGCAGAAAATGCTCCTTTTAGCGCTGTGTACAAAGATTGCTTTTCTTTTTGCTCTAAATCCAGTTGATCAGTGGTAATATATGACAACATAATTTCTAAAATAATAAAACAAGATGTTACCAATTCAGCATTAGTTATAACAGTTTTCAGTTGTTTTCCTTCTAATTGCATTCTCACTTCAATAGAAGACAATTGAATAAGAATTAAAAACAATACTTTGGGCTTTTCTTCATCAATCAGAGTCCATTCAACTCCAAGAAGTTCAATAACAGCTGCTGCAAGTTTTAATGCTGGATCTCGTTGATTTTTTGTTATTTTTGAGCCTAATATATCACTAAGACCTTTGTGTACACTTTGAGGCCAAGATTCTTCTTTGCTGGTGCTCGCAACTGCGTCTTTTCTACACGATGAAACTAAAGCTCGTAAAATAGAACATAATTCAAACTTCCTTTCTGAATGATCTGTTTCAAAGTCTAATGCTATTTTATTCATGATTGCATGGAAAGGTGCAGTATCTTTTGCATCCCAAGCTTCAGGACCCAGCTGACTTACAAGAGTTACGAGAATATTCAAAGCCTGATCAGTTTGAAAACTCTTTTCTGAATAAATTTCACACATCCTTGGAATAGCTCTTTGGTCTAAAAGTGCTTTTTGTCCTGGTGGATATTGTGCGATGCTTTGTAAACAAGTATAAGCTTCACTGACGATTATCAAAGTATCATCAGGAGCATCTTCATCAGCCTGAGAAACTATTTCCAAAAGAGCAGGCACGTGGATGATCATATCAGGATGAGCAGCTAACTCTGGATCTGTACAAAAAGCTGAAAGTATCGAGAGAGCAACAGATTTATAAACTTGAGGTGGACATTCTACTGGAACATCATCACTGATCAATAATTTTTTCATAAATTTTGCTCCAATGGCTTCGAACAATAATTTCTTAGCTGCTGAACTGCAATCTTTACTATCCACCAGTTTAGTTACCATGAAAAGTGCAGCAAATTTCTCAGAATCACCACTAACTGCTTTAAGAATTGACGCACACTTAGTTACTCCTTCCGGGATACTCATGTTGATAGAATTTATTGAGTCTTTAGCTGGAATCAAACTGGCCACTTAAATTATTCACTTAATCTTAATAGTAGTACAAGAGTTCAATTATGTTTATTCAGTCTTCTGAGTTCAATCAGTGTTTTACCAGTTTATAAACGTTCAAAGCCAATTGGCATCTCTCCTAGAATGTAAAGATTCTTTAACCTTGCCCTTTGACACGCTATTTCTTCTTGAAAGATTAAAATAACTTGCTGTTTTGGTCGTTTTCTTGAATGAAGAGTTAATTTTCTTGGAAACACTAAGTGGTCACCAATGTTAATAGTTTTAACACATCTACTTAACTGAACACTAGATCTCAGAGTATTAATCTCTGATCATGCTAACAGAATCTTCAAGATGCACTTGATGATAAAAATAACCTTGTCCAAGACTTTTTTATCAAAAGTACTTGCTTGAGGATTTACTACCTAACCTCTCGGTTAGACTTAAGCAGCAGGAGGTGTACTTTCTTAACGTATACGCGAGATGAAGACTGCAAAGCATCTGTTGTATATTGACGCCGAAAATAGTCACCGACGTGTGGAGATAGAGCTATATGAGGAAACGGCTCGTGTTACATACTCTTCTATTTTCGTTGAACACTCGGTGTGAGTTTTCTTCGTAGGACGACGATATAACAACGTTAATGATAAAGAAAGACTCGCGCACTCACCACGAGGAACTGAACGCATTTACCAACGTTGACGTGACGTATAAGTTTTTTTTTTGTTACTTTAAAATGAATTGGAACGCATTTATAAACAAATTTACCAAACACGACGTATTCCTGCACATGATTGTGAACCAGACTCGTGTGTTGCTGAGACTCGCGTGACCTCTCGCGCCCTTCAGTCTACTTCTCTTCAAGGTTTCCACGAGATACGAACACTACTGTACTCTGTACTGTTTTCACTCTAGATTATAAACTGAATAAATGCATCTACATAATTAATGATAATTATTTATAAAATACGCTCTGTACCTTTTTACAAGCTAAACTGTCTCCCTTTCTGGTCTCGATGAGGGTGTTGTCCAAGTCAAAAAAGATTGTAGTGATGGCAGAATTCGAATCATTTCGCACTCGATAAGCTGCCATGATTTTCCTCTCGTGCTAGTCTTCTTTTTTGCTCTGCTGGAGTTAGGAACGACGTTCGATGGCACCTGTTCACGCTTGTCACGTTCCTGAGACTTTTATCCTCGTTGTGTGACGGCATGGGACTTTCATCAAGTATAATAACAACTGCTTTGTGTCAATAAGGCTTGACTTGACCAAGTGGGGACAATTATCGCCGTGACACGATAGTCTGATGATCTGACGTCACAATACTTGACGTCGATGCACCTCCATTTTATTGTTCTGCGCCATACTGGATGCGCATCATAAAAATTACGTGGTATTTTCGAATGTTTTTTCAATAATATCAAGACAAAGAAATCTTCTGATAGCGTCTGAGTACTTTGTACAATACTCTCTCAACTTACGGAAGAGATATTTCTGTATGTTCTTGGAAATAGAAAAAAAATTACAATTATGAGGAATGATTATAATAATTGATGGTAGAATTAATGAATTTTTTTTACAAGATATGATAATGTGAAACCTGTTTTAGATATGATCGAATAAATATCAAAATTTTATAAATTATTATTATTTGTTTTATAATGAATCAGCTATGTAAACTGGTAATGCACTGCTACCTAACCTTACATTTTGTAAATTAAATCTTTTGGCGGAAAATATTTAAACGTTATTAATTACATGTTACAATAAGGAGTTTTGAAAATGAGATTGATAAACTTTAGTACAAAAAAGAATACTCGAATCATTATACATTCTTCATGGGATATTTATGAATTCTATGATAATTTTATTTTATCACTTTAACAATATTTTGTTATCATTTTCATTTATTAACATAACTCTAGTATTATCAATGTTAACCAAATGTACATTGAATTGTTTAAATAATTGAAAATAATATCCAGTTATAAAATCCTTTAAATAAATTTTTCAATTAAACAATTGGACATTTCTATTAATTTCATTCTGTACCATAAGTTTTCAGATGAACTGAATTCCAAGCTTTTAAAATATTCTATAAATAATAAAAATAAATAACTGATATTGAATTTTATCATCTTGTCTGTAAAGGAATTGCATGGTATCTGATTAGATGAATGAATATAAATAATGACAAATACTTAGCCTTATCATACTTTAGCAGTAATTATTTAAACTAATTCATTTATTTCTAAAGATTCAAATTGCACCACTTTTATACAATTCAAGTCAGGATTATGGAAATCAAGATCAAAATGTAGAATCTGCTGAAACTCTTCCATCAGTAGAGATCCAAGATTGTCAAGTAAACACTGCTCGTCTCCTGATTTTTTCTCTTGGAGAGGAAAGTCTATTTTTTATGAATCTTCTTCATTATATATATTTAAATGAATTACAATTTGTTTAATTATTTACTTCAATCATTTTATTTACTATAACAAAAAAGTACTTGACACTCAATCAATAACAATAATTATTTTTTATTTCATTTACAAATAATAAAGTTTATTTAGATAGTTAAATAAATAAAATGAAAATAATTTATTATTGTAATTTTTAAATGTCTGGTCGAATAAACTTGAATGTTCATTACATCACTTGATGTAGATGTCTCTCGAACTGCATCAACGTGCTTTTTTGCTTGAGACAACAATATACATTTTTTTGAGTAAAAATTAATGACATAATGTTTGCTTACAATGAAATTACAAAAAAAAAGTTTAATTAAATTGTAATCTTTTATTTATGTTTATTTTGTAATTTGTTCTATTTGATATTCTATACCATTACAGTAAGTATTAGGTTAGAACTTATGGATTTTATTTATTTTGTTATTTTAAAAGCTCTTCTATTTTAGATATTAATAATAGAGTATGTAATGATAATTTTAATTAAATTTTGATAATTTATTGTTATTAAATTTATAGTTATCTGGGAATGACAAGACAATGTTGAAACGTAATTTAGCTAAAATTTCTTGGTGCAAACTACGAATGAGGTACTATCATCAAGAAAACCTCGCACCAAAACAAAAAAGCGAAAAACACGATGTCACCAAAATTCGAAACATTGGTATCATGGCTCACATAGATGCTGGTAAAATATTTACTTAGTATATTAATTTTGTTTGTTTATGCCGATGAATAACAATGATTTTTTTAGGCAAAACAACGACAACAGAAAGAATGCTTTACTATTCTGGTAGCATTGGTGCTATGGGTGAAGTTCATCATGGAAATACAGTTACAGATTATATGGAGCAAGAACGTCAACGTGGGATTACCATAGTTTCCGCAGCAGTCACATTTAATTGGAAGGATTTTCGTTTTAATCTAATTGATACACCAGGACACATAGATTTTACTATGGGTGTTGAACAAACTTTAGGAGTTCTTGATGGTTGTGTAGTAATTTTAGATAGTTCTGCTGGTGTAGAAGCACAAACTATAACAGTCTGGAGACAAGCAGATCGCTATAATATCCCAAGAATCGTTTATGCAAATAAAATGGATCGAGCTGATGCTAATTTTGACATGTGCCTTGAATCTATCGAATCCAAATTTAATGCTACGACATTTCCATTACAATTACCATTAAAAGAGCAATCTGAATTAGTTGGAATAGTTGATCTCTTAACTCTAGAAAAAATAACATTTGATAAAGAAGTTCGAGGAGCCAAAGTTAGACGAGAAAAGTTGAATGAAAAAAATGGAGGTTACATTTGGGAGAAAGCAAAAGAAATGAGAAGAATTTTAACCGACAAATTATCATCAAATGACGATGAATTAGCTAATTTGATTATCGAAAAGGAATCTTTAGATGATATATCAGGTCAAATGATTGTTAATTCTGTCAGAAAAAATACAATTGCAGGAAAAGGAGTTCCAGTGCTTTTGGGAAGTTCATATAAAAATATTGGAGTCCAACCATTAATGGATGCTGTGATATTATATCTTCCTTCGCCAAATTTACAAAAGAATGCTGATATTTATAAGTGTTTTGCAAATAATTTTTCAGCGCGAGCATTTAAAATTCTTCACGATAAACAGCGAGGTCCAATAACATTTTTCAGAGTTTATACAGGAAAATTATCAAAAGGACAAAAACTTTATAATGTTCAACAGCGAAAAACTGAACAAGTAGGAAGATTGTACGCAGCCTATGCAGATGATTATGATGAAATTGCGGAAGTTACTGAAGGTAATATTGGTGGAATAGGTGGATTAAAGCATACCGTCACTGGTGACCTTTTAACGAGTAATTCTAATGTTGCCAATAATGCTAAAAGAAATCTAGAGAATTTAAAGAATATTGATAACGCTATAAAAGAGAAATTCTTTGCTCCTACTGATATTCCTGATCCTGTATTTTTTTGCTCCATCGAACCTCCTTCAATGTCTTATCAAACAGCTCTCGATATTGCTTTAGCTGAGCTGCAAAAAGAAGATCCTAGCCTTAGGGTAACGTTAAATGAAGAAACTGGTCAGACGGTTTTAGGAGGAATGGGAGAACTTCATATAGAAATTATTAAAGAAAGAATAAAGACTGAATACAAAATTGATGCAGACTTAGGACCTCTTCAGATAGCTTATAAAGAGACTATTACAAAACCAATTAAAGAAAACTACGTTTCTCAACACAAAATAGCTAATACTGTTCAAAATGTCAATGTTACAATGTCGTTGATACCAGATTATCAAAACAAAGAAATTTTGACTTTCGATAGAACGAAAGAAAGTGCATCCAACCTTGCCAACATCCATCCAAAAGTTATGACTGCTGTTAAAAAAGGAGTTGATATTGCTCTGGCTCATGGACCTAAGCTAGGCTTTACAGTGATTGGTGTTGGAGTCAAATTACATTGGTTAGAGGTTCAAAGAGGAACTGTAGAAAGCATGATTTCTTCTGCTGTAGCTCAATGTATTAGAAAGGTAGAATATTATTTAAAATTACTCCATAAAATAAAACTTTTAAATGCAATAAAAATTATTGTGCTCCATAGATGCTCCAAAATGCTGGTTTAGTTTTAATGGAGCCGATTATGCAGTTAGAAGTTGTAATGCCTGAACAATACTCTTCTAGAGTTTTAAGTGATATGGGAAAACGACGAGCCCAAATTCAAGAGGTTACAATTCGTGGTCAAAATAAGGTAATTATTATTAGTATATATCTTCTTTTTGGAAGAGGTTTTGCAATAAAATTTATCTTTATAGGTAGTAAGAGCTTTAGTGCCTCTCAGTGAATTACTTGGGTACGCAACTACTTTACGCATTATAACGTCAGGAAATGGCACATTCTCTTCGGAGTTTTACAATTATCAGATGATGGGGCCATTAGAGGAACAAGAAGCCATCAGAAAAGTAACTGGAGTTTGAGAAAAAAAGTGATAAAGATATCATTAATTCAAATATTCAGGGCTCACTTGGAGCAGAAAGTACACAAGCCAACTGTAATAGACCTTCGTCAAGTGTTCGATCAAGAATTAAATGCTTTAATCAAATTATGAAACACAAAAATTGAGTTTAAAAACTGTATATCGCGTTATTAAGAGTGATTAACGCGTTGTTAGAGTGATTTCGACGATAAATCTTTGCCTCAAAGCTAATCACATTTATGTATCTTCTGATGATATCAAAGAAACAGTAGTTTTTGGAATTGATTTCCAAGTTGTAAATATTTAAATAATAGGTTAAAATGTAAATAATAATAAATGATAAGAGAAGAAAATATTTTATAGTTTATTTATTTAAAATTTGCATGGTTTTATTAATGACTTTGGACCAGACAAATAATATTGCATCAATGATATACTAAAACTATTACACGATTGTTGAAGAACGCAAGAGCTTGCTGTGATATTTAATAGTAAAAAATGATCATTAGTACTGATTTCCTATTTTATTCAATTTATTTATAATCATTTACTTTATCACAACTGGCTTTCACGTTAGAATATATTAATATAGCTTGAGGTTATGCGAAATCTTCTTATATATATTTTATAAAATATAAATATGTCTAACATATATCATGTAGATGGAGGAATTACTTAGATATTTTGCGAGTGTTACTTCAAAATCTAGTAAAAAATACAAATATTATTTTAGAAAATTTACAGCAAAATTTTATTGAGCATACTATTTGAGTTTTTCATTTTTCAATTTCACTTAATTTTATTCTATAAAAAAAGCTTTTGAATATCACTGTTATAAATTATCAATACAAAATCAAATTGAGCATATGCTTGGGAGAATAAAGAGCCTCTAGAAAATTTTTAATTTAAATTCTGCTGTTTATTGCTATTTATTTTGATTTATCATTAATTTTTGTAAAAAATTGCATTTTATAAATTTTTTTCAGCCCTTAAGCTATGAAAGTCGTCTTTCACTTATTTTTCACACAATAATTAATATAAAAAGATAATTTTTTCCATTGCTTATACATGATAAATAATTTATACCATCATACACAATATATAAGAATTATTACTATTTTTGTTCTTATAATTATTATTCATTATTAGTAAAAAGACTTAGACCAAATTCACTCATTGTTTGATACCAAAGTGAAATCTATTACTCGAATATCCATCGCGATAAGATGCAATACTGAAAGTGTTTTCTGTGATACTAGTAAAAAAATAATAATGTATACCACAGACTTCGCATTGGTAACGAGATGAGGAGATATATTCACTTTTGGCTTAAAAAAATATTCGAGTTATTAACATGAGCAATAGGAACTCGATATTCTATCGGTATATAATTTAATTTCATGACAATTATACTCGAGAGCATAAGTTTTTATTCATAAGTTTTCTGTAGTACAAAAAGAAGGTCAAAAAGTTAAACTTTTTTCCATAATTCACAATGATTTTTATATTAATGTCCAATATTAATTGTTACTTAATTAATTATTTAATGTGACAATAATTGAAAGAAAAAAAACTTAGCTCGCCTTTAGGCCCAAAAATTATTCTAAAATTATATCTTTATTTATTTAACTAATCTTTTCTAAAAATATAATTCGATTAATTGCAAGAGACATAACTAAATACAGCCGTTCAAGTATCACGAGAACGACAAAATACATTTATGGCAACTTGTGATGTTTGTTGACGTAAAGATTAACATCTTTTCAACGCTTCATTATTCATCTTAGCTTGACAATGAATAGAAAAACTCTTATAAAATTCAGTTATCAAATTGATCCATGAATTTAACTTCAAAATCTCATATCGGATCATTTTCAGAGCCATAATCAAGGTCATCCTGGCGTCACAAGCTCACAAGTTTTGGTGGATTGGCATCCGGAGAGCTGAGATCAACGGCCGACAGGTTGTTCCTCTGCTGGGTAGAGCAAGATGGTATTAAAGGTGTTGATACTGGAGTTAAGCCAGTTCCACCTTCCATCAGAGAATCAAAGTTAAATGGAATTCCACTGGACGGTGTCGTGATTGGCACTCCAGCAACCTCGTTTGCAGTTTTCATAAACGCAGGTGTTTCAATTGTTTTAAATTGTAGAGAATCAGGTCGTTCCTTTGGTTCATTATATAATAGAAGGTTAGGCCGATTATTGTTATCAAATCCTACTGGTAGAGAATTTGGTCGATTAGGTCTGACATTGTTTACTGAGTTACGTTTTTCTGGCTCGAGGAATTGATCTTCAATAGTTTGTTCTGGCTTAATTACAGGCTTAATATCAATAGGAGATGTCGAACGAAGTCTACACACAGTTCTGTGAGCTTCCAAGATAAATTCCAGCTCTTCTTTAGCTTGCTGCAACTGTTGAATTTCATCCTGCAAACTTTGTTTCTTTTGTTCCAAGCCCTCAGTCTCCTAAAAAGATTAAACATCCATTAGTATCCATTTTAACTGATTTCAAAAATATTATTAATTTTGTTTTCTGTAAAAAAAGCAACTTACTTCTAACAGGGCATTGGTATGGTCCATTCTTCGCTTGCGGCATCGTGCAGCAGCCATTTTATTTCGTTCTCTACGAGCCTGTCGTCGTTCCTCTTCCTCCGGAGTCATGCCAATTGTCCTCGTGGGTCTTCTGCCACCCATGTTTCTTCTCGCTTGTTGTTGTGGTCGCGTCTGTTGATTCTCTAAGAGTACGGTGTTGTGATTTTGAATCGTGATGGCACTGTTATTGTGGGTCTGTGCCGGTGTTGGCTGTGATGGTTCCACGAGAGGCGGCACGAAACCGGCCTCTCGACTGTGGGACGCGGACTCGCTTGTTAATTCGAGGAAAGTCTGCTCAATGCTGCGGAGGGTTGTTGGTGTCAGTGTAGGCGTCGTCCTCGTAGGCACACCACTGTGCAGACCGTCTAAAGATGCCAGCTGTAACATAAAAAATATGTCAAACTTTAGTTTCAATGTATAAATATCTAGACTTTTTTTTAATCTAATTTCTGCTTACAACTCTTTACTAGGAAAATATTTTTTTTTTGATTAATTTATGGATCGCTGAATGTAAATTCAATGAATTTATGATCAAACAAAAAATCATAAGAATTTTTTCAATTAAAAAAGCTTCTCTTTGTGTTGATAATTTATTGATATGATTTACTTCTTGAAATCCTGATATTTTGTTCTTGTAAAATAATTTTTCGAGAATAAAAATAGAAAAAAAAGACTTCTAGAAACATTAACGTCATTATTTATTCGTACAATTCATATTGATAAAATATTTTTTTTCTGCATAATTAAGTGTCTAGACTTGAAAGAATTCAATTTCTCTTACAAATGCATTACCAGAACCATTTAAAATACTTTTAAATGCACAATACACTTCAGCAACAAGAGTTTAATTAGACCCACGTGCAGTTGGAGTGCAAAAAATGAACAAAAAATATAGATGAATGGAATTCAACGATAATAGCCAACGTGATTTAAGAAGGTAATAAATATATTCTACTTTTAGTTAATTTATCTTTTTCTTGTTATTTCTCAGTAAATTATAGCATAAAAGATAAAAATATCGATGATTTATTCCACCACCTGATATGGTATCATTTTAAATTGCTTAAAAATGTCGTCGAGAATCACCAATAACGTCGCTCAAATATTCCATCACGCGTGTCATCGCATTCCAATAGAGATCAGTAGTGTCTTTATTCAGGTATAAAGGGTCTCCAGGAATTCTTGAAGCTTTTCATCTAGTCAAATTCAAGAGAGACTCGAGAAACACTTATGTCATCGCTAAAATTACTCAGTACTATACCTAAGAGTGAGCATTTAATTGGCAACTTCTCCATCTACTCGAACGAATTTTAAAGAAGACATTTCAAAACACTAAAAAATAGTTGACGTAACACAAAGAAAGAAAGAAAGAGTAATAACATACAGATCTGGATTATAAACAGTTAACTATTTTAATCTATCATTAAATTTTATTTTTGGTTTCATTTTCATTCCTTTCACATAAAAATATATTTATCACTTAATCTTTAAAAAATAACAATAAAGTGTTAATTATAATGTCAGTGTGTAAACTGTTAAAATTATGCTGAGAATACATTATACCTTGACCCCAATCTGATAATAAATCAGATAAATATTATTGATAATTCTTATTAATGTTTAAAAGAATAATTAATAAATTAATTCTTTATAATGAAAGCTTTCAGATAAATATTTTCTTAATTTAAAAATTTTAAAATAAATATTAACAGTAATCCTGAATAATGAAAAAAAAATATATAAAATTTGTTATCTATACGTTAATTTTAAAATTCATGATTAAGTACAATAGGATATTATTTGCATTCAAACAAAAAAAAAAAAAGATAACTCTAAAAGAGAGAGTAGTAGACACGTGTATTGGAAACATAATAGGAGGATTTAAAATGTAATTAAAATTTTTCGAAACCTAGAACTACTGTTTCAAAGCATTCCAAACGATAAAACTGTCATTGGTATACAAATTGAACTTTCAAAATAGTGAATTAATACACTAATGAAAAAGTTATTACTCCATTATGGTAATAAATTGAAGAGAATTGTGATTTGAATTATAATGTTTATATATTTTTTATTTAAAATATTTTACGAGTTTTCTGGTACACTTTTTTTTTTTCTAAAATGGTGAAGCAACCTTTTAGCCTTGCTTTATCCAAATTAGTCGTGCAAAATAAAATAAAGAAAATGTGTCGACATACAATACCACGATAGAGGTAAACACATGCCAAGGTCTACCCTTTAGTAAAAGACATTGCGACTAAATGTAAAGGATGGAGAAAGATATTGATTCTTTTTAACATAACAACAGCTGCCACGTGCTCTGAGTTCTAAGAACTCTGCCGCAAAAATTTCTTAGTATCTATTTAATTTTAAAAGGACTATGAAAGATTAGATCTTTAAATCTGACAAGACCTTTAATAACAAATTTACAAACAATGGATACATTTCTCATATTATCATTTATTCAATCATAATAATAAATAAATATTTCATGACATATCTCCAATGTCATCATTTCGGAAATTATTTATATATCATAAGCTACATTGCACTACAATAGTAATCAACTACTCCATTACTTGATCATAATTTTTCAATTTCACGTTAACAATAGAAATTACTCAATTTATCATAATAAATTTTTCAAAAATAATAAATATTCAACAATAATAAACTGAAAGAACTATTTCTTGAACTCTATTGTCTGTTTATCACTTAATCAACAATATGTTTAATAATTCAAAATTAAAAGAAGAAAAAAAAAGAAAAATTAATTAGTTAATGAATGTTTTAATTCAATGAAATTTTTAATTAATTTACCTGCTGGAAAAGCAACTCCTGAGCAAGAATGTTTGCAATATCGACAGGGTCGATGGCGGCGGCCATTTCGTATTCGTTTTTGTTTATTTATATTAAATGATTCAATTATATTAAATAAACAACAGTTCGAGAAATATTGGATTAGAAAGATAAGATAAAGATGTTGTATAAGATTGTTCTTGTAAGCTAATGAAATTGATAAATCAATATCAAAGATGTAAATAAAGAAGGAAAGGTTACAAGAACTTAATTATCTGATTGATAATAGAATCGATCGTTCGTTCGTATGGGCGTCGGAGAGAGAGAGAGTAGCTTAATGGTTGGTTGTATTATTATTTCAACTTTATCTTAATCTTTGAATTGATAATCTCAAATGACTGTTATGTTTATTGCAAATATATTAACTGAAATCTTCGTTCGTGATCCGGCAGCTCTCGTCCGCGCCCTTTCGCACTTCTCGACGAGAAGTCGCTGTGTCGTTTACCAGCGCTTCTCATACACTGATGTACTTGAACGGGATGTCGTGCATCGTCTCTGATGCCAGCACAGCCACAAAAATAGACACGCGAATTTTGAACATGTGCACACAGTAGAGTGAGTATAGATAAAAAGGAAAAGAGAGAGAAATAGAAATAAATAGAAGTACTCCGGTGCTTTGAGACGACACATCTCGCCAATTAACCACGCGAATGCGTCTCTTAAGAATTCGTGAGCTATCGAATTTCAAACGAGTCAAGACAACAAGAAAATGTGAGAGTGAGAAAGAAACTAAAGCACTTTGGATAAATGACTCGAGGGAAAAATTTAATAGAATTATTGCGGTTATAAAAACATCCCCCTTTTCGAGTTAAGCACGTCTCTGTGGGCGTGTGAATTGCGCAAAGTAATGTAGATGAAGATGAGGGTGAAATCTCTCAACTATTGCATGGCAAACATTAAAAGAATTGTTTTAGTAAAGTCATAAAAACCAAACCCATTTTTTTGATTAAGATAAAATGAGAAATTTTTTTTATTATTTTCTCTTGAAAATTAAAAATAGGAATTAATTACTATTTTTATTTAATTAATTAAAAAAAAAAGAAAGAAAATTTATTCAAGTGATTTTAATTCATTAGCAAATAATAATAATCTTAACTGTAATTGTTTCTCAAGACGTTGTTATTTTAAAGCATAAAGCAATAAATATTATGTTGATTAGATTTATTATGTAAAATATTTTTATCAAGGGTTTTCCCCGTTACAATTATAAATAACATATTCGAGTATAATTTTCAATTGCTAAACAAATGCCCCTCGTGGCCTCCTAATTAACAGAGAGTTCTAAGTTTAACACCTGTGAAGCGTCTCTCAATTTCTTCAAATGATCTCTTACTTCTTGACGAAATTGGCTGAATGCCAGGAGGACTCGTAAGAGCAAACGACCCGCCAAAATATACTTTAATCTAGTGGCTGAAGGAAATAGTGATGATAAACGTAAAGAGTAAACGGTTCTAATTAGAGAAGAATCATTCATGTAGACTGTCAAAATATTTTCAACTGAAAAATTTTGTTTATACTTGACTGAGTACTGATCTAATTAAATTTACTCGATTAATTTAATCAAATAGTATGAAAAAACTTCAACACTCACTTACTCTGATTTATTACAAGTTTAAAAATTAAATGAATCATTAATTTTTTGTTCGTAATTATATAATTATCTAGAAGTTATTAATATAGATTCAATGTTTATCAGTGTCAAGTGACGATTCATCAACTTTTTGTTTTACTTTTTTCAACAGAATAAAAAAAAAAAGAACTCTTGACGCCAGGAAACGATCAAAGATTGAACGGATGCGACGGCGCTATCTTTTTATTAGAGGGAAACGACTAAACTAACGTATGAGTGGTGTGTGGTATACTTGTTTAACTGTATTTTCGATAAGAAAAGTCGACCGGAATGCCACAACGTTCCACGATCCTCCGAAAGAGGATTCCAAATCTTAGAATAGAACTTGGGTCCGGAAGTCAGCACATTTCTCACCAAAAATTGGCTAAAACTATTTCAGTTTATCATATTTTATTTTTTCCCTCACTGGGATTACCTTTTATAATAGAGTTGTCCAAGAATTCATCAAAATAGTTTTTTTTTTTTTAATTTGCTCCAAAATAACTAAAGGACATATTTTTAAATAACTAGCAGGCATAATTTATTATATGTAATTATGAGTGTTGATAATTAATTGATTGGCTTTGAAAAAATTATATTCCCGGATCTATCGATTATGTAAAATAAATGTAAACAAGAGTTATTTAATAATTAAAAAAAAATTCATAAACTTTCCTTCAATTTATACCTGTTATTTAGACAAAGTATATGTCATACAGTATTAATGCTGAATTTTACGGATCAATGGTAAATATTATAGTATATGTATTGCACATGTGTATGTATATCCGCATCGAAGGCTCGACAAACAGTCCATGAAACATGATATGGACATTGAAAAGCCTCTTATCTCAGCCGCTGATACGAAAAACACAAGACGGCCCGATTACAATAAATAATTGGCCTCGTT